AAAAAAAAAAGCTTTATTTTTTCTAATTCTTCAAATTCGACAGAGAAACAAAAAACCTTGTATTCAGTTTCTTGCTTCAATCTAGTTGAACACTAAAGGACCCCAAAAGAAACAGAAAAAAGAAAAGAAAAAGAAGAAAGGGCAATGGCTTCTTGTGGAGTAATCAAAAGTACTGTCTTTTCATTGTTACATTCTCATGATCACGGCTCGACTCGTTTACTTACTTCCACCACCGCTCTCCCGACCCAAAGGCAAAAAGTACGCATAATAAATTTTTTTCTTTTTGAATTAACTATTCTACGTTTTCGGTTTGTATACAAGCTGCATAACATTATTGTTTTCGATTCATCATGTACAAGCCTTCTTAGGTTGTATTTTCGGTCCTTTTTCAGTTCTATTCTGGGATATCAGCTTCCCATCAGGACAGCAACACGAGCGAGAAAAGGGAGCTCGCCGTGAAAACGGGTAGCCATGGAGGGCAGAATGGTAAATTGACAAAAGGACTCAACTTCAGTGGGGAAAAGCCATCGACTCCGGTATTGGACACCATCAACCATCCTATTCACATGAAAAATCTCTCTGTCAAGGTAATTATTAATGTCTGATTTTTTTTTTTATTTTTTTTTTACAATTTTAATTTGCACACTGAGAAGAAAACATATATTTTGATTTTATTTTTGTTTTTGTTCAAATTATAATTTGAAAATAATTTCACTAGTGGACTGGTGATTATATTTACTTCAATCCAAAAATCCGGCCAGAGTCGAAAGAAATGCTCTGTATGCGACGATTTTTATGCATGATTTTCCAAAATAAATTTGGTAGGACCTAGAGAAGTTGGCTGATGAATTAAGGGAAGATATAGTGTACTCGGTGTCGAAAACCGGAGGCCATTTGAGTTCGAGCTTAGGTGTGGCTGAGCTTACTGTTGCACTACATCATGTGTTCAACTCTCCTGAGGACAAAATCATTTGGGATGTTGGTCATCAGGTAATAATAGATAAACATTTTTCCTTTTGGTTCTTAATATCACATTTTTGTTTCTGTGGTTCAATTTTCTCCTCCGACGATCATAATCTTTGTGGGTACGTATTTTATTCCGACACTATTTGCTCTGTGTTCATAATTTAGGCTTATCCGCACAAAATTCTAACGGGGAGGAGGTCGAGAATGCACACAATCAGGCAGACGTTCGGGCTTGCAGGGTTCACGAAAAGGGAAGAAAGCGTGCACGATGCCTTTGGGGCTGGTCACAGCTCAACTAGTATTTCAGCAGCTTTAGGTGAGTCGTTTTCATTAGTTTTTCAACATAACATAATAAAACAAAACATGAAAAACAACTTGTGATTTTGTTTACAATTGAATCTTTTTGATCAACAAAAATATCTGTTTTTTGTTGTAATTAATAATATTCAATCAGGAATGGCTGTGGCAAGGGACTTATTAGGCAAGAAGAACCACGTAATATCGGTGATAGGGGACGGGGCCATGACAGCTGGACAGGCGTTTGAGGCGATGAACAACGCGGGATTTCTTGATTCGAATCTCATAATAGTGTTGAATGACAACAAACAAGTCTCTTTGCCCACCGCCACTGTAGATGGCCCGGCTCCTCCAGTCGGGGCCTTGAGCAAAGCCCTCACCAGATTGCAAGCCAGTGGAGAATTCCGCCTACTACATGAAGCCGCAAAGGTAGGACTATTATAGAAAAATAAAATTTTTCTGCTTTTGGCCTAAAATTATTACTAAGTTATAGTTTATTACAGGATGTGAGCAAGAGTATGGGGAACCATGCCCATGAAATGGCTGCCAAGATCGACACATACATTAGGGGCATGGCAGGGACACCCGGAGTCTCTCTCTTTGAGGAGCTCGGCCTCTACTACATTGGCCCTGTCGATGGCCACTGCATGGAGGATCTCGTTCACATTTTCAAGAAAGTCAAGGAGATGCCCTCGACAGGCCCGGTTCTCGTTCACATCGTGACCGAGAAGGGCAAGGGATACCCTCCGGCCGAAACCGCTGCTGACAAAATGCACGGTACGTACGTACGCTCAAATATGTCTATATGAATGATTAAAACAAAAATTGAGATTGCTATTTTAATTTAATTGCAGGGGTGGTGAAGTTTGACCCGAGGACCGGAAAACAGATGAAGGGGAAAGCAAAGACACTTTCGTACACACAGTACTTTGCGGAGTCCTTAGTGGCGGAGGCAGAGCAAGACGAGAGGATTATTGCCATTCATGCGGCCATGGGAGGCGGCACGGGCCTCAATATTTTTCAGAAACGATTTCCCAACCGCTGCTTTGATGTTGGGATTGCCGAGCAGCATGCCGTCACTTTTGCAGCTGGTCTCGCAACTGAAGGCCTCAAGCCCTTTTGCGCGATTTACTCCTCCTTTCTGCAGAGAGGCTATGATCAGGTAGCTCATGATGTGGACCTCCAGAAGCTACCGGTTAGATTCATGATGGACCGGGCCGGGCTAGTCGGTGCGGACGGCCCGACACATTGTGGGGCCTTCGACACGACCTACATGGCTTGCCTGCCCAACATGGTGGTGATGGCACCCTCGGACGAGGCTGAGCTCATGCACATGATTGCCACTGCCGCAACAATCGACGACAGGCCGAGCTGCCTCAGATACCCCAGAGGAAATGGCATTGGTGCAGATATTCCACCCAACTACAAAGGAACACCATTGGAGGTATGTATGTATCTTCAAAATTCGAACTCAAGTTACTTTTTAGCAAATTACGTGACTTATTTTTGAAAATAGATTGGCAAGGGAAGGATCCTCAAGGAGGGAAGCCGAGTGGCGATTTTGGGATTCGGGACTATAATCCAGAACTGTTTAGCAGCGGCTAAGCTTCTTGGGGACCACGGCATCTCGGTCACGGTGGCTGATGCACGGTTTTGCAAACCTCTAGATGGAGAGTTGATTAGGGAGCTGGTTAAGGAGCACGAGGTTCTCATTACGGTTGAGGAAGGTTCCATCGGAGGATTTAGTTCGCACGTCTCTCATTTCTTGTGCCTCAACGGGTTACTCGACGGAAATCTTAAGGTGACATTCATGGAAATGTTTAGTACAAAATGGTCTTCATATCATATTGTATAACTATATAGATAGATGCCATTGGAAAAATGTATCTTAAGTTTTAACTCTATTTGCTTTTTTGTTGTAGTGGAGGGCAATGGTGCTCCCAGACAGGTATATCGACCATGGAGATCAAAAGGACCAAATAGAAGCAGCTGGGCTGAGCCCCAACCACATTGCAGCCACTGTACTGTCAGTAATTGGAGAGAACAAGGATAGCCTCCACTTGCTCAGCCTGTAATAAAGACCAAAATATTCAAACAAATATTCCTGATGATAAAAAAAAGGGTGGGGTCCCCAGAAAACAAGAATTGTGATTGTTGTAATGAATGATGTCTTGTATATAGGGAAGACATGTTGCTGAAAAATATTTACAAATGCAGGGGATGGACCTTCTTGTTATAAGCACCTATTATTATTTAAGATTAAAGTTGCCACTTTTGATGCTATTATATAAGTTCTTGTTATTTTTCTCTTTTTATTTAAGAAAAAATAAATAAAAAATCCCCCTTGTTTCATTTTCTTTTCCTTTTTTCTCTCAATTGTATGTATATAAAAATTATAATTTAGTAGTGTTTTTCTCTCAATTGTATGTATAATTTATGTACTCGTTAAACATTTATTGCTCATCTTAAAATTTGTGTTATGAACATGCTTAGGATGGTGTTGCTATGTACTCCTTGAACTCTTTTTTTTTTTTTTTTTTTTTTTTTT